AGCCACTACGCTGCAATGTAACTTGGTGGTAGTGTGTGAATGGAAATTACAACAATTACAAGTGGCCACTTACAATGGCATTAGCGGTTAAGAATGAAGCTGTCGACCGACCGACCGACCTTGGCTAGCTGCTCGCTCCTCCCCCATTCAGCACACTGATTCACGGGCGGTCATTATTTGCCATTGTTGTTGTTGTTGTTGTTGCGTATTGGTTTTTTACACGCTTTCGCTTTTTTTTTGTTGGCAGCTCGATTTTCTGGCTTTCACTGGCTTTGCTCTAATTAAATGCACATTAAGTACTTGTGCTCTTATGCAACGCATCCATCAACCATCCACTCCACGGGTTTGCACTCTCACCACCCTGCCAGCCGCTTGCCACACGCTGTAGAGTTTTCTCAATTGGATCGCTTTTTGAAACAACGATTGCTGCTACATTTTGTTTTTCTACCCAATTCATAAACGTTGGGTACAAGAGCATACATATATTCGCATTGTTGGTATTTTTTATGTGTACATACATACGTAGTTGTATTTATGGAAGTACCGCTTTTTGCCTTGCAATTTCAAGGCGGAAATTCTTCTGCAAGTGGAGTGTATTGATTTTATGTGAACATTACACAATGCTTACTTCCAAGAGACCGTTGCTTTAATGACAACCTTTTCACTATCGAAGTTTTCAAAGAGCTGTGCTTTCAATCTTAAAGATTAACGGAGATGTCGCAAAGAAACTATGCTTACGAACAAACACTAATTCTTTGGAAATCACATTCAGACAAATGTTCCATAAAATATGCTCTATGCTCTCTATGCTGTTTCAGGTGGTGAGGTGATGTGAGGTAAGTTGAGGTGAGGTGGGTTCAGTTGAAATAAGTTGAGGTGAATTGAGATGGAGTGAAGTTAGTTAATTTGAGGTGAAATCAAGCGCGCAACATAACATATCTTCATATTTTCTTTGACATTTATCTTTGTCTATTTATCTTCAAGTTTATCCCTCTCACTATCTCTACCTTCAACTCTATCCCTATCCTTTTCTACTATCCTATTCCTCACCTATATCCTTATCTTTCCCTTTATTTTTATCTTTATCTTTATTATTTTCTTTATGTATGTATTCACCTTCACCTTTATACTGTTATTATGTATTTAATTTTACCTTCACCTTCATCGTTCCCTTTAGGAAACTATTTTTAACTCTATTTCCTCCCTATACTTTATCGTTTCCTTCATTTACATATTCCTCTTTATCTCTTTCCTTGTATGCAACATAATCTGAACCCTATCCTTAAACCGTTGCTTAAGACCTTTCTTTAATTCAGTATCAATAGGCTAGGAGGCATTTCCATCAAAACTATTTCGGTTGTATTCGCAGTTTTATTTTTATAATTTACTACCGCAAAAGGGTGATCATCTATAAAGGTGATGGGGCACTTTTGGTTGAGAGTCGATTTCTAGATACCCTATTTGATCCAGCAAGACGGAACTGGTGCGGTTTACCACGAAGAACAAGATACCCTTTGCGGCCCTTCCCTTCTCAGCCAAAAGTCCCTCAAAAGAGGACTGGGCAGGGCGGAGTTACTGAAAGAAGAGAGCGGTAAACTTCTTCACGGACGGATCAAAACTTAGAGGTAGGGGGTGGACAGTGGGGCATCGTTTAAGCTCAGCGAGTCCTGGACCTGGTCCTGTGTGTTTTATAGCGCACACTGGCATGCAAAGCCAGCTTCCATTAGGGATAATCAAAAGAACTCCTTATACTTACTTAGAATAGAGGGACATTTCGGTTCTCAATGCAGCTAAAAGACATAGGTATATATTTTACTCCGAAGTATTAAAGTCCGAGACTTTTCAGCCAAGCTCTTCACCTAGCGCAACGCTATCACCATAATCTAAAGCCCGAAGGTTTTCGGACATAGATCTAAAGACAACGGGGTTTGGTAGCATTCTCTGTAACTAAGGCGACAAAGCCTCAGCCTACAAAATTAAATCCAATATGAAAGTCGCATAGCCATTTTAACACGATACTATTTTGGAAACGTAATCCTAATTCGTGATTCATTTAAGCAGATCTCTCGGTAAGATTCACTTTGTCTGAACGGATCTATATCAATACCCTGGATCACATACAATAATCGAAAGTATCCCTCATTGCAACTCCTTGAGATGAACTGCAAGCGATGCATCGATGTTTTTGAGACATCAATAACATCGCTTTCAAAGTTTCCATTGGGATGGTATGACATTATTTTTTTAATTATAGGAATACTATTTAACTAAATACAGCGAAATGCATCAGCCATATTTCAGAAAATTGCATAGATTAATATTGAAAAAAAATTTAAACACCAATGTAACTACATACTATGTTAATCTCCAAAATTTACATCTTCAGACATGAGATCATTTATTTTTGCTCTTATCCAATTAAGTAAGTATTTAATTTTCTGAAAAACGAAAAACTCCTTATAATTTGAGAAAGTTCGATTAGTTTTGACCCATATCATACCTTAATTAGTTATTATGTACCTAACGTAGTAGACCAGCATTGGGTAAAAAAGTGCGGCTTTCACTGCAAACTTCAACTAAACACACCACTTTTGTTGTTCTTCTTCTGCTCTTCAATTTTATTCTAAAGCACACTTGATGCAGTTTTCGCATTGCATTGCAAATTACCAACCAAATCGCACAATGTTGCAACATTTTATGTGTGGCATACATTCAACAATTACTCAGAGTCAAGCGCAGCCGCAAACGAATTTTGATAAAACACAATTCTTCATACATATCTATATAAGGGATGTACTTATTTGTGAAAATTTGCATTCTATGCTGTGGGCTGCTGCACGAAAATTCCCTGCTTACACTAATTTTTCTGCTTTCCTGCACTCGAATAGCAAATTTCGGGCTATTTGTTGAGTGCCATAGAGAAATTTTGCAACTTCAACTATTTTGCTCATAGTTAGTTGGTCACTCACTCAACTTCTCGTTTATTCGCATCTATTTGCTCTCTGGTAGCCAACGCCTTCTTGCCCTTTTGCATTTTTGCATGGTTGAATATGTATGTATGTACATATATGTAACTCCTGTTGGCCTGTCGGTTGGTTGGTTGGTTGGTTGGTCGGTTGCTGCTCCATTTTTTGGCTAAATCATTTATTCTGAAGTTTAAGGTTTTATTTTACACCTTTTTATCGCTCCAGCTGTGTGGTTATGTACATACATATGTATGTATAAACTGTGTGTACATATATACCTTCATTTTAACATTCACTCATTCATTCATTTATTCATCTACTCGACAATGCACTCCCCAACTCTCTCAGACTAACACTACAGCTGGCCACTTACTTATTTATTCATTTGCCAGCATTGTTGGACAATTTCTGGCAGCCAGCAGCACTTCGAAACGATATTTTTGTGCGGCTTCATTTTGCTGCAACCTTTTAATTTGTATTAAAATTCTAGTTGTCCACAATGCTGAAGCTTCTAAATTAAATTTACTTATTTTGTATGAGTTAGCCACAACTTCGGCTGCTTATTCTCTGTTTTACCAGCAACTGGCCAGAAATTCTAAAGCGCTTAGTATTTTTGTACAAAAGAGTAAGGCATTGAATTCGTGAGCTGGAAACTTTAATTAGTTAAAAGTAAACTTTTTACGGCCTGCCTGGATTAGTGCATTTCGATGGCTGAGAGTGGAAGATCGATTTTAATCTTTTTTATATGGCTTTGACCAAAATATTGTATCAATGCGTGGTGGTAAAATTCCAAAATGACTTTGCGCCACCTCTTCAATTTTTTTTTACAGTGGTTCAAAATTTAAATTTTTAGGTCACAAATTAAATAACTTACTTATAATTTGTTTATGTATAAATTCGCTTAAAATATAATTTTTGTTTTTGCTATTGATGAAAATTGTCATTGAAGAATTCACTATGAAGGAAATGTTCTACAATTAAATTAAAGATTCAAATTTTAAAATAATTTTTTATATGTAAGTTTTATGCAAAATTTAAAAAAATAACAATTATTTTTGATTTTTATTTTATAAATCCAAAATAAGGGTTTTTTTATCTAAATAATCTGTAAATAACAGTTATTTGCGATTTTTATATTATATGTCTTCGATAACAGTTATTGAAGACTTTTATTTATAAAAGTGATCAATAAAAGTCAGTCACCGACTTTTATTTTTTCAGTCGTACGTATAAAAGTCATTATCATTTTTGGCTGTTAAGAAGGTGTTGGAGAACCAAAGTTTACTACGACTTATATGTGTGGATTTTATAAATATGATTTCAAAAATAAAGGTCTTCAATAATTGTTATCTAAGGTATATAATTTAAAAATCAAAAATTACTGTTAACTGCAGATTATTTAGATAAAAATCAAAAATAATAGTTATTTTGGATCGATAGAATAAAAAGCAGCAAAAAGTGTTATTTAGAGAGTAATTAAATAAGGGTCCAAAAATAATTGTTCAAGAGCGATTTTTTAATAAAACTTGTAACTGTTACGGTCCCTGCTTCAAAGGCATATCCTAAAATTTAGCGCGCAATATATTTAACCTTATTTGGATGAAGCTCTATGTACGGTCATTAAGTCATTATCTTTGTGGATAGTCAAGCAGCACTGAAGGCAATAAGATCTGAAATACAGAAATCGGGAATTGTTTGGAAATGTCACACCACGCTGGCGTCACTGAGCCGTATCAACGTCACTCTATGCTGGGTTCCCATAGCAATATTGAAAGCCAGATACGGCTCAGTGATGCCAATACATAGAAGAACCGTTCGGCTCTGTACTACCACCGTTGCTAGTCTCTTATAAGTCCACACTTATTTGGTACAAATAGCAGCCCATCAAGTCTGTATTTACAATTAAAAATATAAACTCTGATGAGTAATTTATCTCAATCCAAATTGTATGCTCCATTTTTACATTTTCCCGACATGTTAAGAAATTACTTTTTCTCATGCTACCGTTTTCCTTTTTTCCCTATCTCTTTGCAGTGACCACCGTCGAGCCGAACATGTTCACCACATGCATCCCAGTGGGTGGCAATTATACTCCTGGTGCTGGTGCAGCCACAAGCGGCGCATTCGCTCCCAACACACTGGCCAACACGTCCAGCGACTCACTGTCCTCCGGATTCGAGGCAGCCGGCTATGCAGCCTACTCCACAGCGCTTAGCGTGACCATCGCCATCGGCTGCAGTCTGCTCATCCTCAACG